AGACCTGTTGAATCCTTTTCAGTGCTTTTTTAGGGAGTACAAAGAGTTGCATCCAATACTGGACAACTCCTAACAAGACTGAATTTACTAATTGCAACCTTCCAGCATAGGCCAGCTTCCTTTCCATCCAAGATTTAACCCGTTTTGTGATCTTTTCCACTAAAATGTCCACCTCCCTCGATGATAGCTTACCAGTCATCAATGGAAGCCCCAAATACCGAACTGGCAACTCACCCTCTTTAAATCCAGATAGAGAAAGAGCATTGTCCTTGTATTTAACAGACTCACCCCCAAAATAGACTTCGCATGTAGCAGGGTTACAGTTGAGTCCTGGGAGCTTATAAAACTGTCGCAACACGTCCTTTACCTGAAGAATTGCTTGAGTCGAACCAGTGGTGAAAACCAGAACGTCATCAGCAAAGCACATATGATTGAGGCCGATTCTGCGACACTGAGGGTGGAAAGGGATCTGTCCTGATTGACTTGCAGCTATTAACATGGAAGAGAGCCCCTCCATGGCAATAGTAAACAAGTATGGTGATAAAGTATCACCTTGACGGACCCCCTTCCTAGCCCTAAAGAAACCACAGAGCCCCTCATTGATATTTATACTGTAATGAGCAGTTTGCAGGCAAGCCTTTATCCATTTCATGAACCGGTCAGGAAAACCCATGGCATTCATCATAAGAAACATGTAATTCCAACTAACTGAGTCAAATGCTTTCATGATGTCTATTTTTATTGCACATCTAGAGGATAATGCACTTCTGTTGTATCCACTAACCAACTCTTGAGCCATCAATATATTGTCCATGATGCTTCTCCCCTTAACAAATGCTGACTGATTATTACTAATAATCAGAGGCATAACCTCACTAATCCTCCTAGCAAGAATCTTAGCCATTATTTTGTATAAAAGATTTACACACGAGATGGGCCTAAAATTCTTCAAGGTGTCAGCATTCAAGACTTTAGGAACCAAGGAAACAGCAGTAGCATTTACTCCACTAGGAAGATTACATGTTTGGAAGAAGTAGATAACCCCTCTAGTCACGTTGTCTCCTATAATTGGCCATGCTCTCTTGTAGAAGCCAGCAGAAAACCCATCTGAGCCTGGAGCCTTCTCTGGATTCAGGCTAAAGACCACTCTCCCGACCTTCTCTGCTGTGATGTCTTTGATAAGATTCTCACACTCAGAAGTTATAATGTGATGACGAATCAGTTGGGCTATCTCCTCCTTCTCAGATTTTATCTCAAAATTTGCTTCCCCCAATAACTTTTTATAAAAACTAATGACTTCCTCAAAAATCTGATCAGATTGAAAAATCTCCCCTCCTAACTCCTTACCAGCTTCCTGATAGTTCTTTTTGAGTTGTGTATCTTGACAGCCTGATGAAAGAAGTGGGAACTTTGGTCTCCAACTGATAACCAAGACACCCTAGATTTCTGCCAGCCAAAACTTTCATATGCCCGAGAGATATGATCATACTGGTCCTTTGCAAGTGTAACAGCCTCAAAATGCTCGGTTTTAGGATTCGAGTAAGCTCTGGCCTGAACTTTCACCAACTCAACCTCAGCCTCTTTAACCTTATCCTGCAAGTTACCATAAATCTCCTTGTTAAACTTCTTTAGAGCCTACTTAACTTTGGACATCTTACCTTGTAGGATCTGCAAGGGATTCCCTAGTACCTCACTGCCCCAGGCTTCTGTCACTATATCCAAGAAACGCGGATGATCTGCCCAAAAATCAAAATATCGGAATGGCTTAGGTAGGGACTTTACTGGTGCAACTGTACAGACTTGTATTCCACAATGATCAAAAAACTATGAAGGAAGGGCTTCCACAGTACAGTCCTTGAAATGCTCAATCCAATCAAGATTAACCAGACCCCGATCTAACCTCCTAGCAATAGGGTGATTAGCCTGCCTGTTAGTCCATGTAAATTGCGGCCCCGTAGTTCGATAATCCACCAACTCCATCTCTCCAATCTAGTGATTAAAATCATTCATGCTCTAAGTAGATGATCGCTGGTTAGAAGTCTCCTGTGGAACTCGAATAGTGTTAAAATCACCCCCCACAATCCAAGGATAACCAACTACTTTTAACTGAGCAATTTCCTTGTAAGTGTTATGCCTCTCCACCTCATCATTAGAAGCATAAACAACAGTAAGAAAAAAAACTATCTCTATTTAAATCATCTACCCAACAGTGTATAAAATTCTTCCTCGGTTTAAGAATCTGAAGTTTAATTGCAGGGTCCCAAAATAGCCAGACACACCCCAAATTTGAGTCAAAACAATTTAAACATTTTTCCCATCCAGTAAATACCTCCTCCACCACCTCCTCAGCTTTAGTAGCCTGTATCCTAGTCTCTAGAACTGCAACCACATCAACCTTATTCCTACGCAGGACTTGCAACAAGTCCCTTTGCTTGGAGGTTTTATTGAACCCCCTGACATTCCAGATTAGCACAATCATTTCGAAGTTGGGGGCTTCTCCCCACCCTTCTTCATATCCTTTTTTCCTTCCTTTTTTCGTGGAACATCTTGGACCTTGCTTGCTTCCTTATCACCAATCTTTCTCAGCACACTGAAAGATGAGTTTGAGACCAGAATGCCCTTCGAACTATCCTGTGAGAGCCAGACACGAGGCCTAGCCCCATTTACTACTCTCTGAAATTCATCCTCAGAGGGCAGCTTAGGCGAAGAAGAAGTGGCCACCTCTTGAAATGACTTCTCTAAATTCTATGGAGCAATCCGACCTCCTCCCATCGCTTCAGGACTAGTTGTCCATCAGCTGTGGATCATCATCATACACCACCACCTCTTTACCCTTCTCATTAGCACCTTGAATATCAACATTTCAACAACTGCTTCCTGAATCACCTCTTCAATCCTAACATCCTGTCTCAAATCAACACTCACTGCCTACTCCATTTGTACTGGTTTAGCCACCCATTTCCTGCTCTGATGTTCAGCACATGATCCAGTGATCCCAAATAGATGACAAACCTGGCAGACTGGAGGTAGGTTACAGTAAGTGACCCCAATTCGAATGGATGAATCATCATCTGGCCACAGAAGAACATGATCAGGACATTCGCTATCTACTGTAAGCTCCACCAATACCTTTGCAAAACCATGTATGTCCCCCATTCGAGTAGTATGATCCATTCCCAGTGGCACCCCAATCCAGCTCGCTATTATGCTCAACCCCTGGAAATCATTGTACTCTAAGGGAACGTTCACCAAATTAACCCAAATCGGCAGGGCTTTCCTTCCCAGATCCTCAAAACAAATACCAGGCACCCAATGCCGAAGATAAAGCAAATTGTTGAACCAAAACCACGGACCATTCTCCAGAATCCATTCGCAAACCTTTTGATTAGGTAATTGAATTAACAACATCTTATCGTATAACAGAGAAACTCTAACCAGACCATCCCGCCCCCAAAGTTTGTTGACCCAGCGACGCAGAACGTACATCGGTGGCGGATCTTGAAGAAATTGGCCAACTAGACTGTTCTTCCAGCGAGACGCTCGTGCTTCCCGGATCGCTTTTGGCATTCGTAGTCCTCCATTGACAACATCAAGCGGTATATACATAAGGCGGTTGGCTTCAGAGATTCCGAACAGCGATGCCCAGGGTTTCGAAGGAATTCCCCGAGGATTGCCACCCAGACCCTCTGATGCTGGAGATGAAACCGCAGCACTCTCGTCACTCATAAGAACATAATAAGAGGATTGCCACCCACCCTCAATCTCAACCTTTTTTACTACTTTTTATTGTGCAGAATTTTTATTATTTTTTATATTATAAATCTTTTATAGTAATTTTACATAACCTCTTATATTAAAAATCACTTCTAATAGTTTTTTAGCCAAACACTCAAGTGTTTTTTTTGAAAATTGCTTATTTTAAAGCTCCAATCAGAAGCTACTTCTATAAAAGCTACCGCATAGGGCTGGGCATGCGGGCGGATCATCCGCGGGTTTGGGCCGACCCACCCGCATTTGACCCGAATTTCGTTAAGTGGGTGGGTCTGTGGGTGGGTGACGGGTTGCGCTGGGAGCCATCTGTCGGGCGGTGGGTGGGTTGTGGGTGAGTGTGCGGGTGACCCGCTCAACCCAACAGCAAAAAGATCAAAGTCGTTGGCGCTAGAGAGAGAAGAGTGGAGACGTTAGATATAAACTCGGACTGCTCCTGGAGTTTGAACCTCAAAGCCAACCTTCCAAATAGAGATCCCCTCTTCTTCCCTTTACTTTTTCCTCTAATTCTTGTGCCTAGATCACCGCTCTTTCCTTTGTGGAATTATTTTCCTTAGTTCCTTGCACCTAATAATCATCTCAATCTGTAGAAAACTCTTTCATAATAGAATTTCTATCCAATTTAAGAACTAATTTGACATTTTTTGCCCTATTTCAACTTCTTGTTTCCCTCGATGATTCTCTTCACCTATTATCATGTCAAGTTGACTCCTTTATATTATATACATTGTGATGTGGGTGAATCCACAAACCCACCCGCATCATCCACCATCCGCCCGACCCAACCCGAGACTAAATGTGGGTGAGTGGTGGGTTAAAAATTATCAATCCGTTTAAGCGTGGGTGGGTGCATTTTATGGTCAAAATCCACCCAACCCACCCAATGCCCACCCCTACTACCACAGGCCAAACTAGCCATGTGTTATACAAAAGCGTTTTTTAGCTTTTAAAAAATTGAACTTTTAGATGTGTTTGGAACTCTTTCAATTTTTAAAACCGAAAAAACACATACGGGTGAAATGAATTCCAAATTCATTGTTTGCTTCATATTTTGTAGGGACTAAATCTGTAGCGCGAATGGGCTGAGTCCTTAAATTCATGGACCTCTCTCGCAAGCTATAATCGCCATTGACGTTAGGATGGAGTGTGAAATACGGGCCAACGGCCAGAATATCCAGTTGAAATCATGAGGGCCTCTCTGTTGTGTTGTTATTTAGCTCAAACCCAAAAGAGCCCATTCTTTATCCAGTCCATGACTGATAGTCTGATTCTGATAGAACAGTCAGTGACGAGCTAGCTCCCAAATTCCAATTGCTCTTTCTGCAATCTCTACTTTTGTTCCCGGCTTTCTTCGCTTCAGCTCAGTCTTATTCCATCTGTGACCGTCACGTCGGAGAACCTCCCACTGCGGCATAACAAGAATTGAATATAAAGGGTGGGAGCGTCGAAGTGAATTTTCCATGGTTACTTTCTATTGCTAAATCGGCGTCTAAGTTTGTTGATCCTGATTGTTCACCAGGTGTTCGACGAATTGCCTCAGTGAAGTTTGAGTGCTTGCTGCTGCACTATCGTCGTTGTAGTTGGTTCTGTTCTTCTTTCTTTTTTTCTGTCAATTCGGAGGAATGGATAATAGCAAGAGCGATGATGATGTTAAGAGGGCGCGGCTTATGGAGGCTCGCGCCAGAAGCATCAGTCACAATGTGAGGTGCACGGAGTGTGGGAGTCAGTCCATCGAAGAATCTCAAGCCGACATCGCCGTTCTCCTCAGGAAGGTCAGTAAAGTCTGGAACCTTCAATTCAATGCATGTTTTCCATGCCCGTATGTGTTTTTTTCTTCTTCTTTTAATGTTATCGGATTTTACGTACTGAATGTTGCTGTAACCATGTGTAGTTGATCCGTGACGAGGTCTGGTCTGGGAAATCTGACAAAGAAATCTTCAAAAAGCTCGAGGATGAATATGGAGAGACAGTTCTCTACGCCCCAAAGTTCGATTGGCAGACTGCAGGGATATGGTTGTCCCCGGTGAGTTTCCGTAGCTTGTGCCTGTTCCCCCACCAAACTACCGTTACGTTGCAAGTTCCTGAATTCTGAAATGTGAGGCTTCTGTGGTGCAGCTTTTAATTGCAGGTGCTGCTGGAGGGATATGGGCTTACAGAAGGCATAGGCAAAATACTAATGTGCATATCATGGCTCTGAATCTGATCAGGGGCGTTGCATTAACACCAAAAGAGAAGGAGACCATGTTGGAGATTCTAACACCTCCCCCTGCAGAACGAACCCCTCTTTCATCTTGGTGGAATAAGTGGAGAGCTTGACAGAAAAAGGGTATGTCTTCTGTCGATTGGTAGCCACAGTCAAGTTGATTGCAATGACATACTGGTGCAAAGAATCAAGCTTTATGGTGTGGCAATGCTGGAGTTAGTGAGACGATGTAAAGAGCAAGTAGCTTTTGCCTCTGCACCTCAGTAATAGTAGTCTTAGCTATGTATCAATGTTTGTTGAGATTATACTTGCATCGTTTGAAAGTTCTCTCCCTTGTAATTCCTGCATTTGAATTTAATGGCAGCATCTGTATTATCATTCAGTTGAATTTAATGCAAGCATCTACATTATCATAACACAATATTCTCTTAAGACTGTTTTTCATATTATGGTCAACAAACGCAAACAAAACTGAATTGAACTTTCCATATTCCTCTGTCTCGTTTGGTGCTTGATAATCATGTGAGAATCATTTGATGACACGATATGTGGCATTGCTGTCGAAATGGTTGGTTATATGAAATACTGGGTTACATTGTTATAACCAAGTTGCAGGAGGGAAAAAGCTTATGCTGAACCTCATTGGTCAGGGATTACTTGATGGTCTCTACAGGAGTTAAACATTAACTGGTTTCAATGAAAATGGTCTAATGTCAACTACATAGTGATGTGTCATTTTTTGATGATGTACCTAGGATTGCTCCTAGCATTTGACATTTAAGTGCTTAATTTGATGTTTCATTGACTGTAAACGACTGTTATTGTGATCTGTGAAGGTTATTTTTCTGCCGTAACTGATAAAATAAAAAGTGTACTATCTAAGCTTGTTAGAGTGTTGGAGCAACCAGATCAGGCTTCAGAAGCTCAAACCAATGTAAATGGGGACCTTTCAACCCCATTTGTTTCAAACAGCCATATGAGCAGGCCTGAAACTCAAGAGGTTGTCGGAACAATGCAGCAATCAGATCAGCAAGCATCCATTGTACGTGTTCAGAGTCCAGCAAATATTCAAACCGAGATTCACCAAGATCCTCCAGCTTCGGTTGTCTTCGAAGAGCTCATGATTGGACAAGCTTGGACTTCTGGATTGTATGACTGGCGCAAAGATCAGACAAATGGTAATTGCAACACATCTCATTCTGGTGAAAGGGGTCTCAATTCTTGAACTTGTGAAAGTGTCATCCATTCAGATCAATATAAGTCTCTCCTTTTTGCCCTTAAAAGCTATTCTTACTGCATGCGTTACATTTGGCCAAATAGCTGTAGTAGTTGACAAGGGGAGGTCATGTAATTATCTTCAACACATGTTAGCTCTTAAGCTCCAAGCAAGTACCCAACAACTAATTTTACCCCTAACCGTCATTTTTTCTCTGCAGAATGGGTTGCATTTGCTTCCTGACGCTGCTCGCCTCATACTCTCAGTGGCTCGTAGCAGAAGAGTACAGAACCAAACTGAGAAAGAAGTATGGTCTGCTAGAAGATCCATACAAAGATGTGGCTTCTCATTTCTTCTGACCGTTACGCTCACTCTGCCAGGAATATCGAGAGCTTAAAATCTGCGGGTTGATCCTTCTCTTGGAAAATGCTGTATCATTCCATTGATAGAACTGCGAAAACATTATCCATATTTAGAGGTGATGAACATGTAATGATTCTGAAGGATTTCCTGCCTTGGAACTTCGGGTGTAGGTTGGAAAGGGATTGTAGCTCAGCAACAGAAGAAAACACAACGCTACGAAGATCGATCCTGGAGAACACAGGAGGAGGATGAAGATGATCATAAAGAAACCAGTATTGTTCCTCCTCCAGGACAAGTCATGCCCTAGTGACGAATGCAATATCTTTTCCTTTTTCCTCTTTGTATGTATCATGTTCATATTTACACGTGTCTGTCATGTATTGGCATCATTCTTGTCAGATTTCCTTTCGAAGATTTTGTCAATCAGTGAAAGAGTTGCGCTTCAAATTGGCCACCAATTGAGGTTGCCGAGTCCAAAATGAACTTCTATGACAACCATATTCCATATTGAGCTCAAAGCCAGGTTTATACTTTCATTTTGCGAGGGATTGTACAAAATTCTTCATTGGCTAAAAAGAAAAATACGAAGTGGATGATCTTCTCTTCACAGTTACTCTTCGTATTCATTTCAAGCACAAATAAGGATGTTCTTGGCCACGGAGATAAGGAAATCTGGCCTCTTCTTGGGCTCTTCCGAGCACGATGGAATATCACACTTTCCATTGTTTAAATATCCATTTTAAATTTTAAGATGAAATGAGCTGATGATGGAACTAGATTTTGCGACTTGTTGGAATGTCAAATTTATGTATAGGAGATGATAATATTTTGATTCTGTAACTCTTTTTTATTCAACTTCCCTTTACGAAATATTACTATTACTCCAATATTAACATTGCTTACATAATTTTTATGATAGAAACAAGTCCAGAATTATATATTCTTACCCATCGTTGTTCTTCCTGAAATATTGACATAGCATTTTATTTGTAAATTTCAAGGTTGTTAACCTGATTTAGCCCGTTGATCCGGTCAAGTAAGTGGGTTGAGGATTAATTATCCTATCGGTTTAGCCTGAATATATGAAAATGGACATTATGTTGTTCCTACATTTGTAAATTATAACAAATCTCATTTAACATGTGAGTGATAACATATAACATTACTCTAAACTAATATGTAATACTTGGATCCAACATATAATAAAAATCCAGACACTTATATAACATTAATATTCAAACGTTCAACTTAAAATTCCAAAGATAGGATAAAAAAAGAGGAAAAACATCGTATATGACCTCCAACCCGATAAAATTGCAATGGGTTGACCCAACGGGTGTATGTGATCCATTTTTCTCACTGAGCCATGGTCAAAACGGGTCAACCGACGGATCGACAACGTTGCTAAATTTATCGTTTCTTTGTTTATTCACAATTTTCATACCTTGGGATGGAGAATGTATGGGTAACAGTAGAACCGGTCATGAAACTGGCGTGAACACCACTAATATGAGCGGCATGATCGACCTACAAATTTTAAGCAAAATGACGTTGTTTTAGCGAATTTAATTAATAAAAAATAATTTATTATTTATTTCATGTATTTAAAAGTTAAAAGTTGATATTATTTGTTGAATTGTAAGTAAATTATCCTCAAATATGTTTTATATATGATTAAATTCATTTGGATGATAATAATTTTTATATTTTTACATATTTTGTTATATTGATATGAACCGATAAAACGATTGTACACTGGTCGTACAAAGGTATAAACCGGTTTAACAACTATGATGGTAGTCTCGCGGATCATCCTCGAAGAAAACGCGACAAATCACATGCGCGCATTCACTCACTCACCGTCTTCATTAACTCCCTCGGCCAATTACCTACTCCCTCTGTCCCTCGATCCAAACTTCTCCTCCTTGATTACCAGCCACCGTCCTGAATCAATTTTTTATTCGGCTTCAGTGATAACTGATAGATAGATAATTATAAGCCACAAAACAATTTTCTCACTTTCCTGAGAAAGCTTAATTTTCATCTCCCCCAACTAAAATTATGCGCTCTTTATTACTGAAGCCACTCAACCAACATTTCTACTCCCGCTATTATTCATCTCACCATCATCAATACTCCTCCTCCTACTACTACTACTGCAGCTCCCCCTCACGTTTCCCTCATTCGTTATTTAACTTCCACCCACCTGTCTTGTCTGCCTCCTCTTCTCCTTCTCCAGCGCCAAGATTTGGGTTGTCTTCGAATCGTCAATTTGGCTCTGGTATGTCTTGCTTTCTCTAACCCTTTACTCTATCGTGTTTGGTTATAATTGGGTTTTTTCGTTGATAAGTCTGGGGAAAGTTTGAAGCTTTTGTAGGTTGCCTGCTTTGTGTTTGAGGAAATGCCTAGCTGAGATTGTGCGTGCTAATACGTCTCTGTTCTTATTTCGTTATTGTTATTTTTTCCCCCCAATGGGGAATTGGGCAGGGGCAGCTGCGCCAGGACAGTCTAGTACGTTAATGGAGGTGGTGAAATCAGTTTACGCTCAAGGCGGTGAGAGGATAGCCATCAGAGCTGATCAGAAGAGTTACAGTTATGCTCAGCTAGGCTCCTCTGCTCGGGAAATTTCAATTCTCTTGTCTGCCGCTGGCTTGAAGCCCGTAAGTTTTGGACTTGCTTAGTTTGCCAAACTTCAGGGGTTCTCTTTTATGTCAATTGCCTTCTGATCCATGATTTGATCAGTCTCGGTAGTTATCTGCAACTTTGATTTTTTTGGAAGTTTTGAGTCCTTGAGCACACAAGCAATCAGAGGGACATAAAAGGCTCTAAAGCTATTGTGAAGTTTGAACAGACGTCATTGAATATTTTCTCTATTCGGGTAGCACCTGACGAAAAAGGCTCTTTCTTGCAGGTTGATGGTGTTAGAGGTAATGGTCCTCTTAGTGGCGCACGTATAGGGATCGTGGCTAAACCTTGTTTCGAGTTTGTTGCTGGAGTGTTGGCGACTTGGTTTAGTGGAGGTGTTGCAGTTCCGCTTGCAGTAAGCTATCCAGAGAGCGAGCTCTTGCATGTCATGAATGATTCTGTACGTGTGAACTTAAAACATTCCTCTAGCACTTGCCTTTATGGCCTTACCAAGTTTTTCTTTTACGAATACATTTTTTTTGTTGTTAAATAGGAGATATCAATGGTATTGAGCACTGAGGATCATCGTGAAGCCATGGAAAAGGTTGCTTCCAAGTGTGCTGCTAAATTCTCTCTGCTCCCGACTGCTTCCAACGTTTCTTCTCAGACAAGCGCTTATGATCAGAAAAATGTTGGACAAATGGACGCTCTAGAAGGTTTACTTAACCCATATTAAAAATTTTACCTTCCCTAGTCACCGATGGTTCGTGCTCGAGATTTCGGACAGTGTCTGAGTTTTATTTGATTTTCTTTTTTCCCCCATTGAAACAATGTAGGTGATGATCCAGCGCTGATTATCTACACAAGTGGTACAACTGGTAAACCCAAAGGGGCTCTTCACACGCATAATAGTGTGAATTCACAAGTAAGTGATTGTGAATAGTGTTTGGGAAATCGTTTAGTGATTAGTACAATACACACAGCTCAAAATCTTTGCGAATCAAGGTTTAGCTGGCGGGTCAGCATAAATGTAAAATGGGAATGCCAAATGAAACAATTGCGCCAAGCTACATAGTTCTTTCTTTCATGTACTTGCTTTTCTATTTTTAGATTTGATTTTGGTCTTGAAATTGCTGCAGTCCTGGTTCAATTTCAGGTCCAAATATTGACAGAAGCATGGGGATACACATCAAGCGATCAATTTCTACATTGCCTTCCATTGCATCATATCCTTACAAATGCCTTCTGCAACTGTTATTCTAAAAATGACTGGCAAACGTCCCCCCTCCCCCCCCCCCCCCCCCCCCCTTTTTCTGGTGCTATTTTGTCCCTTGATATATCATAGGGTACTGAGTAATCCAAAGATAATTGTGTCAAATTGCTCCTTAACTAATAGGTACATGTTCATGGTCTCTTCAATGCATTATTTGCGCCACTATATGCAGGTTCCACGGTAATTATTCCGATCTTGTGACTTCGGTTCGGAAACAAGTGTGTGTGGTAGATTTACATACATATGCTCGTCATTCATATTGTACAGTTTGGTGTCCATGATATCTTGTAATAAGTTAAATCTCATTGAAGGTCGAGTTTATGCCAAAATTTAGTGTGAAAGGAGCCTGGCAAAGGTGGAGAGAGTCTTATCCTCAAAATGGAGAGAAGGCAGATGATGCCATTACAGTCTTTTCAGGAGTAAGTTTACTTTTCCTGTGAAGTTGTTCTACTAGCAATATGCAGGTTACCATTTCCTGTGAAGTTGTGTTCCCCTACATAACAAACTTGTGTTGGATGAGCCAAAGGGGCTTGAGACATGGTGTTACCATTTACGTGAACTTGTAATCTTTGGCTGTTTGGATTCATACATAATTTTACAATATGCAGGTTCCCACCATGTACACTTGGCTAATTCAAGGTTATGAGGCATTGGACCCAGATCTGAAAACTGCGTCGGCCTATGCTGCAAGGCAGTTGCGGTTAATGGTAATGCCCCTTTAAACTTCAAACAGTTGAATGTTATACATTCATATGCACGGTGTAGCTTGGCCACCTTTTGAAGAATTTTTTATTTTTATTTTTTTATTTTGATAAAAAACCTTTTGAAGAATTGTAGTCTATCTTGTTGCACTTTTTCCTGCCTAACAAATTATATATTGACTTTTTGCCAGATGTGCGGTTCCTCTGCACTCCCTGTTCCTATCTTGCAACAGTGGGAAACAATCACTGGACACCGCCTCTTGGAACGCTATGGCATGACAGAAGTTAGTGCTTTCACTGATTAAATTTGAATTACGTCCTTTAGTTTTTTTATAAATCATAATTGATTTCAGTTCTTGATCTCTTGAATGCAGTTTGTCATGGCAATATCAAATCCCTTGAAGGGCACACGGAAAGCTGGCACTGTGGGTAAACCACTTCCTAGAGTGGAGGTCTGTGTGTAATGTAATAAGTAATTTTTTCCTCATAAATTATAACTAATTAAAGCATCTAATGAACTTGTAACACTTGATAGGTAAAAATTGTACAAGACGAAAGTGATCATGAGAATACCGGGGTGGGTGAGATTTGCGTTAAAAGCCCCTCCCTGTTCAAGGAATACTGGAAGCTTCCTCATGTACTGAGTCTGCTTTCTCTTAGCCATTTATGATAAGTGGTTCCCTGTGAAAGTTTCTATAGAACTTGGGAGATCTTGGAAGCATCATTGTGGTAGTTTCCCTGCAGGTAACTAAGGAATCTTTCACTGATGATGGGTTCTTCAAAACTGGAGATGCTGGAAAAATAGATGCAGATGGATACTACGTCATATTGGGACGTAAGATCCTGCCAAAACTTGACTCTTAACTCTTTATCAATGGCTTCTTTCCCTACCAATGCATAAAATAAAATAAATTATATAACAAATTTCAGGTACAAGTGCTGATATTATGAAGGTTGGAGGTTTTAAGTTGTCTGCGTTGGAAATTGAATCTATTCTATTGGAGGTAATAATATCTCTTCACCATGCACATCATGCCTCTTATGAACATGGCCAATTTGTTAGAGGCGAGAGACTGGATCACAGCATGATCAAAGAGCCCTTTCTATTATGCAGCACACATCTGTGGCGGAATGCTGTGTGCTGGGTTTGCCTGACAAAGACTATGGAGATGCTGTTTGTGCAATCATCGTGCTAAACGAAGAATCCAAGAAGCAACAGGATAAAGAATCAAAGCCTGCGTTAAGTTTGGAAGAACTGCGGGAGTGGGCCAAAGAAAAACTTGCACCTTACAAGGTAAATAAATAACCCTGTCTCTGCAACTTAATGTCAAAATGCTCTGTTACTACCAATGTGAAATCATGGCACCACCTGTCCTTCTGCAGCTGCCTACTAAACTATTCCTTTGGGATTCCCTGCCTCGAAACGCAATGGGAAAGGTACATTGATGTTGAATCTTACTGGAACATGCACACCGATCGTACGAATTACTGACTGGTGATAATAACAAACACTATCTTGGAACTGAATTCCAGGTGAACAAGAAGGAGCTAAAGAAAGTGCTAGCTGCTCAGTAAAGGAGCTAAATGAGGTGGGAAATTATTAAGGTAGAGGAGGTGAAATAATTTGGGAACTATAACAACGTATAGAATGGTGGCAGCCAGGAGCCATTATTGTTTAGAACTGTACTGTGTCTGTACCTTCTCTGTCCAGATTGCCCAGCATTCTGTACTGTAATTTACAAGGAGAGGGGAAGAGCAGGCGTTCAAACCACGATCTCTTGGCCGATAAAAGCTGTGTGTTATTCATGTTTTGTCGAACTGTTAATTTGTGATTTAATTATTCTCAAGCAAGCAAGGCAACTGTTTTGTTGGTTTATCATTCCCTATCATTCATCAATAGATGCCAGGCCGTTCACATTTCGGAACCTTTCATCTTGTGTCCGTTTTATATAAAAAAAAAAAAAAAAAAACAGAAGCCATAGCTCCAGAGAATCAGAAACTCTCCAACCATTTTTAGTGCAAGAAAACAGAGAGCCATGGGAGACGACGCAGTGGCGATATCGAACAGAGGGCTGGAGAGACTTTCCAAGAATCTACACAGTCAACTTGAAGGGTTGACCATAGACGGACTCAGGATTGTGGAGTCTCGCAAAGGGTTCATCCGCTGTCACTTCACTGTCCCCGATCGCATCGCCGTCAGTAAACTTTCTCTCTTCCTCTCTGTTTTCTTTTTTCTCTTTCATTTGATATCGGGTTTTGAATTCACTGTTAGGACGGAGATGGGAACTGGCACGTCGGAGCGATGGCGACGATGATCGACGTTGTGGGTGCGGCTGCCATCTTCTCATTGGTGGGACATGTCAAAGTTTCCCTTGATTTCACCATCTCTTTCATTTCCTCTGCCAAATCCCAGGTATAAAACAGGGGATGCGATCAAATGCTGCCCACGTCCTTATAATTCTATTCCATGGACAAATTTTGGACCTCATTATATGGATGGACGGATGAATATGTCGACTGGCAGGAAGAGATAGAGTTAGAGGCGAAGGTTGTTGGCGAGAAGGGTAAACTGGCTTCAGTGGTGACAGAGGTTCGAAGGAGAAGTAATGGAGAGCTCATTGCCTTGGGGAAGCAATGGATGATGGCTGGGCTTGCTGAACATTTTGGTAAAGTAAGTAAACTTTGATTGTCAGAATCATTAGAGAGAAAACCTCTTGGCCGGTAACCGGAGTAAACTTGGTGACTGATGAATTGTTAAATGGCATATTCATGGTGATTATTGTTTACGAATCAACATCTTTTAACTTTTTGGAATGATAAAATCAGACCATCATCACCTTTCTACAGCTTACTACCACATTTGGATTGCCTAATTTGTGCCCTTCGGTTTTTGATAAAATCACAATTTTCTTATAAGAAGTTTTTTGGATACACCAATTACGAGCAACATTACAGGTTGCACAAACAAAGTCATGGAGTAGTTTTTAATGACTTGGGCCACGGATCGAGGCTTGACAAATTGGGCTCCGATCACACTGTTGAATGTGCTTGTAGTTATGGCTTGTAAATGATTAGTCGTTGTCGGTTTTAATTGATAAATATGAGGAATTTATACAAAAATATCACTAATTGGATGAAGACATTTGATTATTTCTAATTTATTTGTTGGAATTTGGATTGAATCATGAATTTTCGATGAATATTTTTATCGTATTGATATTGTTTCTTATAATTAATATTTTGTGTTAACAATCTAGAAGTATAGTTAAATTGTTTTGCATTACTTGCATGATTATAGTTTATTATTAAAAAGAACATAAAAATTTAAAAAATGCAATATGTGGAGGTTGTTATTGGTTAGTGTACCCAACACACTAACCACTAACCAAACCAATACAACCCAGTTAACGGATAAAGTTTACGATTTGAATTTTGTTATGCATTTTTTGCGTAATGGTTAACGATACCGAATCAATTAGCACCCTACTCACAATTTTTTTTTTTTTACATAGACAGTAGTCAGGTAAATCCCTGACCAAAATATAGTCAAAGAACAGAAAATAACACCGTGCGGCAGTCGACAAATAGTCGAACTACCGATGAAAGGGCCTGATATGCCACAAAATGGGCAGCCCTATGAGCAGCTGTACCTGCAAAATGAACAAACACATAGCCACAAACGGCCGAATATCTATAAATATTGAAAACAACTATGCCAAAATCATTGCTCCTATAACCTCAAGCAAAACGCTTCCTCGTCAAGATTATCCAACCGGCCATTAGAGTTGCCAAACATGACATTCATCGGTCCTCCAAACGACTCCGTCCAAAAGCCCGGATGAGCAGTGTACCCGGAATGCCAACCGAAGCCGCACCCTTTCCGTAGAAAGCCATAGAGCTCCATAAGCAGTTAGAAGTGACCTGCAAAACAAGAAAACAAATAGGCAATCCAAATGGATCTTAGAGCTGCCGGTTGGACATCCTCATCAGCAAAACAGTACGAAATGAATGAGAAAGGAAGACTCCACCGTGGAGTAACATTGATAGGCTCCACAACGGAGAGGGCCATCACCGGCAAAGCACGATGTCAACCATTATGAGTCAATACGGACTCTGCAACCCACTTACAAAGATGGGACTAATATTTTCTTTTCTAGAATAAATTTTTTAAAAAGAATTCATAGTTAAAGAAAATAAAACGGATAAGCTTTGGAAAGAATAATAAAAAAATTAATTAAGAAGGAAAATTATAAAAGAAATTAAATAAATAATAGTAAAAATAAAAATGAGAGAGCACTTATCCGGCGTAACCGCCACTGTCCCGGAATCGTAACCGCCAATGCCAACGGCGACTTTGTCGTCTCCCATCGTCACGAAGCCGTCCTCCTAGCACCGTCGTTGTCGCTGTCCTCGTTCATGGTCGGCGTCTGATCTCCCTTTGTTGGTCGCCAGAGCAAAGGACGGGAGAGGAGAGAGAGGAGTCGCCGCCATCATCGACCCTATTCTCTCTTATTCGGTGCTCGGTAAACCGTAACCCGGTGGCGGCAATATCTGGGTAGAAGATTCGTCGTCGTTGGAGTTGAGAGACGGAGACGACGACTTTGGCGATGGGGCGTGAAGGGTCGTCGGGGAAGGGCGAGCGGAAGGAGCGAGAGATTCGAAACGGTATAGTCGATCCTTGGAGCAGAGAGCCGATTCTACGAGGACGATCGTTGATTTCCCACGTTCTCCCTTTCTTCTGAGGAAACCTGCGAACTTCCCCGATCGCGTCTAATGACGCCGACGGCAACTGTTGTAAATATCAGGCAGACAGCCCTTTCGCTTTCCACGAACCGTCGGCGGCATCATTGGTACGCTCCACTCCCTTCACTCGCTTCATTGTGCACCCTACTCACAATTAGTCAGATCCATCTGTTGACACCTAAAATTAACTTGGCCAGAATTAAATGCCGCATTAATTAGTCTCGGCATTTAATTCGATACCGCGGGTAAAAAAACGGTGTCGTTTGGAGTTGAGCGGTATCGCGAGAAGTTAAAACGATATCGTGGATCAAAAAACGGTACCGCAAGGAAGCTCAGCGGTACCGCGACACAGAAAACGACACCGCCGGAAAACAAGATGGGGCCGCGCATTTTGGTATTGGTGTTGGAAAAGGAGTTATTATTATTATTATTATTATTATTATTGTTACTCCTTGTAGGAAGGGGAGAAGCGGTACCGCAAGGAAGCTCAGCGGTGCCGCGACATTGGAAACGACACCGCAAGACAAGAAAAACGGTACCGTTTGGTAGAGAACAATGTCGTGGAATGAAAACGACATTGTTTGATGGGACCGGGACGGAGCAGTTCAAGGTCGGCATCGATTAGTGAAAAACGATGCCGCGGAAAGATTAGTGAAAAACGATGCCGCAGGAGGTATCAACGACATCGCGGTATCATAAACGATAGCGTTTGATTAAAAACGATATCGCAGTGGTTAAGAGCTCGGCCAAAAGTGGCCCGCCAAACCCAACGACAGCGCAAGACTAGAGAACGACGTTGTTTGATGGACTAACAATGTCGTTGGTTAAACCGGGGCGGGCCAGTTGAGTTGGATTATAAAACGACATCGGTTGGTGAAAGGCGATGTCGTGGTATTGGTGAAACGTCATCGTTACATGGACAAGGTTGTAAGTCGTTTCGCCAAGTTTCTGCAAAGCAAGAGCGGTTTCGAGGGCACGTGATTATCACGCAACAAGGAGGAAGTTACCTGCACGGTTGACAGGAATGAAGACGTGGGAGACAAAGGCGCCAAGGCAGTTACTACGACGGGGAAAAGCGCGAAGTATAAAGATTGGGAAGAGAGAGAAGCTCGGGACGGCAAAATCAAATCACAACTGCACCATTGCATAATTATCTTTTTTCTCTCTAGTTTCGTAGAACCGCTCTGTCAAAGAACTCCTTTGCAGAGTCGTAGATCGTAGCTTGTAGTCGTAGTCGCGGAGCTCTCCAGAGGAACCTCCATAGGAGTAGAGGTAACGTAACTTAGAACACTCCTGGTTCGATTTTCTGTTTATTCGTCGAACACCCTCGTTCGAACGTAGTTTGGAGAGGTGTTGAACCGAATAACAGTTGTTTGATTAGAAGTCAAAGGTGTATCGATCAAATCAACGACGCCGACACCGGCGGCGGCCATTTGACGATCGTCTTGATTTCTTCTTTAATCGATCAAATCAACGACGCCGACATTCGGCGGCGGATATTTGACGGTTGTGATTGACGTGTGTTTTGTGTTTTTCTCGAAAACTGTGCGCAGTTAACACACGAGTTTCGCCAACGGTGAAAACAATTTAAACAGCGAAACTGATTTTCCAAACAACAGTGCTCGAATTAGTCCGCCAAGACAAGGAGCTTCGCCGACACCGGTGATGAACCCACCAACTCCGCGAGTTAAACTTGGCGAGACTAGCACTGCCGCTCACACTCGGGTTGAACCACCGCCGTTTCACGGTGTGGGTCCACAAAATATTCCGGAGGCCAGACCCTACGTGGCTCCGATGAGCGGTGCTAGTGGTGGAGGAACGATCAACAATGATCATGTTCCGCCACGCGGCTACCCACAAAACGTGCCTCCTCCTCCAAACGGGCTTGGCATGGATCCTGGTGGATTCGTACCACAAGGGGGGCAACTCGGGGGGCAAGACGTTAATGTGATTCGAGATCAAGTAGCACAGATGCTGGCGGATCAGTTTGGTTTAGGGATTAGACCAGAGATGCCGCCGGTGTATCGAAAACCATATCCGGATTGGGTTGATAGATACTACCCCTTTCCACGTGGTTTTCGCGTGCCTGATTTCATCACCTTCAGCGGGACTGGGGATCAGTCCACCGTCGAGCATGTTGGACGATTCACGGTTCAGTGTGGTGATGTGAGTGATTTCTTGAAGTTGCGTTTGTTTGGCAACTCGTTGACCGGCCCTGCATTCGCATGGTACGTCAACTTGCCATCGAACTCGGTTCAAACTTGGCAGCAAATGGAACAAATGTTCCATGCCCAGTTTTACCGTTCTGAGCCAGAAGTGACAATGGCAGACTTGGCACGAATGCGCCAACAGCCAGGAGAAACAGTGGAACACTTTTTAACGAACTTTAAAAATGCAAGAAATCGGTGTTTTGTGAACTTGACAGAACGCGAGTTTGTTAAACTGGCCCAGGGTGGATTGAATTTTGAACTTCGTAAAAAGTTTCAAGATAGGGAGTTTTCTGATTTGTTTCAATTGATGTCCTGCGCTGTTAGATATGAATATCTTCTCCGTGAAGAAGAACATAAGAGAAGTGGCTCTCGCGGACAATATTTCCCTAATTTTGAAAACTATGGTGTGAATAACGTCGACAACGATGTTGACGAAGTTGAAGTTGATTTGGGCGAGATTGTGCAGGGGAAGCCATATGTGTGTGCTTCTCTAGCCAAGGCTAATGGGGAACCACAAGGTGGAAAGCCCAATCGTGCCCCGATTCAAACTAGAAAATATTCCTTTGATATCTCAAAATCAGAACTGATTTTCGACCAGCTTTACAAAGATGGTCAAATTAAGTTGACTGGGGGCATACTATCCCGCCAGCTGAAAAATTAAAAGGGAAACGATACTGTAAATGGCACAACAGTGCATCTCATTCAACTAACATGTGTGTTGTGTTTTGTAACGTTGTGCAGGATGCAATTGAGAAAGGTCGGTTCAAGTTCCCAGAGCCGAGGAAGGAGGCCATGATCGTTGACACAGACCCGTTCCCAAACGTTGTCGGCGTCAACATGGTCAATCCCGATTTCTCTAAGATCAACCTGCCACGCTTCAAGTTGGTGGTGGATACATCGCCG